TTATTTATTAAATTTATACCCTGCCCCTCTAGACCATGTCTACTCTGCTGTCTGCAAAAATAAGTAACAACATTTGTAAGCTAAAAGAGCAGGGGGTGTTTTAAGGAGTAAAAAGATTTAGTGAAAGATTATAATTTTATAAGCTTCATGATCCTTATATATAATTATTTGCTTCAACACAAGTACTATCAATACTACACTTCTATTCATAACTTCTTCATCAAAGAAACCACATTTATTCTAACTCAGCTCTTGGTGATAACACTAATTCATAACTCTTAACTGCCTCACAGCTCTTACTCACCAACTCTCTGTTACACCCTTCCAGCGTCCCACCACAAAACAGAATATCTCCAGCCAGAATCATGCAGTTTGCAGTTCTACTCATAAACATTGGTGGAATCCTGTTGGTATAACTATGCCCACAGAAGGCCAGGGGCAATTTTTGGTAACTAATCTCTTCCTAATTCTATCCCACAGTTTTTCTATTGTGTGGAAGCTGTGGGAACCATGGGATGGCAAGAGGAAGTCTTTACAGTAGGACCTGCTGTATCAGCCGGGGATCGATTCAACGATCTACCATGGGGCAGATGTACAGATACTGGAAACTGTGGATATAGACATACAACATTTCTCTATAAAACATACAAAGACAGAGGACAAAGGCACAAAGAGGCACCCTTGAGTGCTATATATAAGGCTATGGTAAACCTTGGGAAAGTGAAATCACAGATACCAGTCAGGTCTTACTGCCATTACGAAAGGTCTCCCCTTTTCAATAATGAGATCAGGCAGGAAAGATCTTTGGTGATTAAAGACCTTTTCCTCCTGTCCTTTTACTTCTATGGCTGCCTCACAATGAAAAGGATTATACAGGAGTTGGAAAAACTGTGGGACAGAAGTAGGAAGTGTTTAAGGACTGAAAATCACTGAGAACTGCTGGGTAGCTCAGTGGTTTAAGCATCTCGCTGTGGAGCCAGCAGTTAGGAGTTCAATTCCCCACTGTGCCTCCTTGATAGATGCTAGATTTGATGATCCATAGGGCCCCTTCCAGCTCTGCAGTTCTGTTGTTGTTAAGTTAGAAAGGAGCTAAGATACTACTCTGCTTACCTCCCCTGTTGATGTAGATTGTTTTTTTAAAAAAATGTAATGCAATATAGATCCAATTTCTATTTTCCTAATGACTGAATAAGCCATAGAGAGCTTATGTCAGTGTTAGTAGTGGCCACCTTGCACTACAGACCCTAACTAGAAAATCAAAAAGAGAGGAAAAATCTGGAAAGACTGTAAAAAATCCCTTCATATGTAGCTTTTGTGTACTTGGAAATGATGTGATTTAAAGTCTGATCAGTTGTACTCTTGACTTTTTAAAAAGACAGCCTCCTCTTTGTGCAGAAGGCATTTTCATTTTCCCAGGATTGTTATTTGTGCAATGAATATTGGCTAGGCCTCCAACTTACGGCAACCCTATGAATGAAAGATCTCCAGAATGCAGTGTCCTCGACTGCCCTGCTCAGTTCTTGTAAACTCGAGTCTCTGGTTTCCTTTCGGGAGTACAACAATCTCATACAGTATTTGGTTCCTCTTTTCCTCGTGCCTTCAGCCTTTGTCACCATTATGCTCTTTTCCAGAGAATCCTGCCTTCTCATCATGTGCCCAAAGTAGAACAGCCTCAGTTTCATCAGTTTTTGCCTCTAGAGATTGTTCAGGCTTAATTTGATCTAGGACCCACTACAGGGTCTGTAAACTCCCCTCTTTAAAATATAGGAACCACAATTCTTGTCCACCCATCAAGGAAGGTTCTAGATGGATTTATGGGACTGAACAACCTGTCCAAGATTGGAGTCAACCAATCAGGATATTAAAGCAGATTCCGGGGGGGGGGCAGTTTGTATCCTTTTGCAGAGTCTTGTACCGTGAAAGAGAGAAATAAGCTCTTTAATATCTAGTAATCTTACAGGTGGCCATTCTGGTTGAACTAACTGGACATCTGCGCTCTCACCAAATGTTTCTATAAAATGTGACAACTAAGTTCTAAGAAGTAATAGGAGCTGGAGAAGAGGAATTCATTCCAAATCCCCCTTTGCCAGAATAAACATTCAGGTCCATCAAGAAGTTCAACATTCATGTCCATCAAAGGACTCTTAGTACTCATTATGAAAAGTCATTTCCATCTCCCTAAACAATGTTCCCTCTGAAGGTGAACTAGAGTAGAGGGTTTCATCACAGGTTGATGTGTTTCTTCCTTCTCCTTCAAGCAGGAAGGAAGTGAGAAGGTCCTGTTCTGGTGATGGTCCCAGAACTAACTTTTTTAAACACATCATGCTGCCTGTTTCACCTGATGATCTGTTACAAAAGTACTTGCTTCTTCCCTGTGAACTTCCTTCCTTCTGTAGGAGAGTTCTAATATGAAGTAAGTACACTGGGAGCTCTCCCCCCTGGAGAAATAAAAACAATAGCTCAGGATCTGGACTAGTCGTCCACACACAGGGAAGACGCTATGTCCTCTGGTGCAGGACTGGGGACCTTGCACCCCCACCTCTGAAGTTGTAGTGCTCAACACCCCTAACCAATGTCAGCATTGTTGAAGTTTCTTGACAATACGAATTTTTCCACATCTGGAAGATGAAGGATTCCCACCTCGCTGGGTATAATATGCTCCCCTCTCTGTCCTCAGCTTACTGCCGCAATGCTTTGGATGGTCACTGGTACAGCTATGATGACAGCACTGTAGAGCCAGTCTTGGAAGACAACATCAGTACGCGTAGTGCCTACATCCTCTTCTACCAGAGACGGAGTGTGGTCCCAAGCTGGTCCGGAGGAAGTTCTGTGAGAGGTTCGCTGGAGTTCTTTTCACCTGTACAGTAGCCCTGCTGCCTGTTGTTTTGGGGGCACAAATCAACTCCTTGTCATTTGTTTGGGAAATTGACCTACACCTAAGAATTCTAAATAGGTGCTGACATGGATGCTGGAGGACAAATTTTTGACACTCAAGCTCCCATGAGCCATGGATTAGGGCGGGGCGGTAGGGCTTGGAGCCAAGGGTTTGTCTCATCTAGCTGGAAGCCCCTTGTACATCCCATGGCATAAGCTTCCGGTTCCCAAGGGTCATCGCCCCACAGGAATGGTGCTTCTTCATGGGATTTCAAGGTTTAATTTATTTGCAATGTAAAAAAAAAAGAGAGAGAGACCATTTTGGAGTGCAGGAGCAACATGTCAGCCACACTTTTCAGAAAATGTAGTGTAATATAAGGGACGTTGTTGATTCTTAACCGAAAGCAGAGGGTAGATGGGGGATTTGCTGTTGATACAGGAGAATAGAAATGTGGATGAGACCCAAATGTTGACCCCATAACACAAGCTATGCCCCGGGGGCTTTTGATGCTTGCCAACTTCCTGGTTTACCCATCTTCCACCGATCTATACCTAAATCCCCAAAAGACAATTTGGGGCAGCCATGGAAGCTCTACCAGGTCCTTTTCTAGCTGTGTAAAAGCAGCCAGAGATCAAGGAGTTTTGCCACATTTCCACTATTCCTGGCTGGATTTGACAGCTGCACCTCTGGAAACCCTCTTTCTGGGTGTAGTGCCCTCTCTAGTTAGCTTATATCCATGGTGCACAGATGTGAGGCTGCATTAGATTGGGTGGAGAAAGATTTTTACAAGAGGCTGCCTCAGAGAAATTGCCAGGGGGGACGGAAGCAGCCCACCCTTGCTGAGAAACCATTTGCCCTGAGAAACTTTTGGAGTCCCACACATCAGGTAGCAGCGATTTTTGCAGGTGCTCCATGTTCAGACATCTCTTAAGGCTGCAGAAAACTCATCTGACAAAAGAGAATCTAGAAGATTTGCAAATAATCCCTGTCTTACCAGGTTGGGAAGGTGATTATCCTTGCATGCAGGTAGGCTTAGGAATTATTCGAGCCATTTGCAGACTTTGTAGAAATGGCTGTGTTTGTTTATTCCCTAACCACAGATGGCTCACCCTCCTTTAGAAGATGCAAATCCTGGCTTGGCCATTCTGCATCCACACCTCAAGGCTGTTTGTTATTCTTTGGATGATTGAATCAGGCTTTCCCTGTATCCCTCTGACTCCATGTGGGTTTCCCTTACAGGCTCCGTCAGCTCCTCCGTTTCCGAACACTGGCTAGCACGGCTCAGTGGAAGCAATAAGCGAGAGAGCTTGGTGTCCCGCAGTTCTGCGACATGCCCATCTCTGCCAAAAATGCCTGACTCACCCACGCTCACCAGTACCAGCATCAGCCAAGAGAAAGGTGCCTGACCTCTGCTATTCCGCTTGCTACATATACAGCTTCCTTAGTACATTTGTTTCCTATTAGGTGGTAGAGCATAGCCCTTGTTAACGTTGTGCGCACAACCAGCTGCTGACCTGCTTTCTCTGCTGAATTCTTCATGACATCTTACAGAGTCGAGTGTCCAAAAAATGGCTGTGATTCCTTCTTAAGACGGCTTAGAAATGAGCCATTAAAATGTAATTGGCAGGAACTAGTAACACCAGTTCTCCTGGCTTTCCTCTGATACTCCTTTCTTGGGGCCCCAAAGAGCCAGAATGCTCCCCAAGCGTATCTCCGGCTTCGTCTTCGGTTCCTCCCTTAGCCCAGCTCAACATGGCATAAACACTTAGTAGGTTGCCCACCTCCCACACCATCTAGAATAAACTACAGTGGGGTCTCGACTTACGAACGGCTCGACATACGAACATTTCGACTTATGAACCGCTCTCATAGGAATATATGGACCTCCCACACCATCTAGAATAAACTAATTTGAAAATAAATCAAGCTCTTTATTCTCAAATTGGGAGATGGCATTTGAGCCGGTCACAGTGCAGACTTAACATACCCTTTGAGCCTTCCACTCACCAGCCCTCCCATAGCTCTCCCCAGCCTGCTTCTTCCTCACTGACTTGGTTATTGCAGATGTTTTGGCCATGGCAGCAAGTCAGAGGGGCGTCTCTCGTCTGCCTTCCAGTGCTTGGTATGCCACTACCCAGCATGCCAGGCAGAACCTACATCTAAGATATATAATTGTCCAAGGGCTGCTGCACTTTCAGTGGCCAAGTAAGTGAGGGAAAGGGTTTGAGATTGGAAGATTAATGAATGGAAGAACAGAAGGCAGAAATTATTTTCTCTGGCTCAGATTAATATCTGAATCTTGCAGTTTCTCTGGTTGAGATAAACCTGAGTCGGTGAATTCAAGGGTTGATTGTGCTCATTCAGACCCAGAAGTATAACCTCATGATGGGACATTCATAATTGCTCATTTGGTTAAGGGAGCTTCCACATTCCAGTGCAGGAACATACCTGACTCTGCGGTTTTTCGGAGACTCACCACCAGTCATCTCCCTTTTGTTTTCTAGGTGGCTTTGAGTCACGTCCTCTCGTGCGAGGTGTCCAAGGCAGAAGTGTCAGCCTGAAAGCTTCCCCCAATAAAGCCAAGTTGGGAGTTCCCAAGCCCCTGCCGTTGCGATGGTCCTTCAACTCCAAGGAATGGCCAGCGGAGTCTTCAGGGGAACTTGTCGAATACCTGGAGTCTGGCCGCAGACCACGGTTCACCCATGAGTCTATTGTCCCTCTCATGACTAAAGAAGGGGAGGACAATGGGTCTTCACTCACCAAAGCCAAACTGAACCCTGTGTTAACAAGTCTAGGGACCAGTGAGAACACTGGGAAAGCACCCACTCTCCTGGAAAACTCCAACACCCTGAAAAGGTCAGTGAAGCCAAAGGAAGACGTAAGTGAGCAGCCACGGACACCCAAGAAGCTGGCACTTTCACTCAGTACAGTGCCTCCAATAAAAGATGGAGAACCTAAGAGCAAAGCAAACATCAATGGGACCTTACGTTCTGGGACAAGCCTGCCCTTCTCTGGCTACCAGACCAAGAGTAGAGGGACTCAGGACCAAAAGGCTATGCCCTGCGTTGGAGAGAAGGATCCCGACAATGAGAGGCAGCCAGAAGGGAAGTTGGCCCTCTTCAGAGCAGGCTTCCTGCGGAGGGACCCCAAGAGGCACAGTGAGTCTGACAGGCATGGCATCCTAGCACCAGCCATGGCCTCCTCCCGGGCATCTCTCTCCAACGGGACATTGAGCGCTGTCAGTGGCAGCAAGGCACTGGGCTGCAGCCCTGTAGAGGGGCTCCCTAATGGGAGGATCTGCCGCTCTGAATTGGACATCAAGAGGGCTCAGAGCTCCTGCAGTAACAAGGGAAGGAACGACTGGCTACTGAGCAGGTCCACCTCCCTCTGGAAGGCAAACAACAGTGTCTTCCTGCAGGGTTGTACACCACCACTGACTCTAGAGGGGGTTTCTTGTGGCACCTTCCAGCGAGCAAGGTATCACACAGCATCTCTGGGCAGGAGAGTCACTGTACCAGAGTCCAGCTTCTAAACTAGCCTGATGTTCCACCTGGAAATACCAAAAGAATGCAAAACCTTGGTGCTTGTAAGACCTCGGGGCCTTTGGAGAACCTCTGTGGCTTGCCAGAAGTCTTGGCCAGTGGCTGCTTTACAAAAAGGGGTTTAGTCAGGCATCATCCAAACGAAGAAGCACTGAATGATGACACTGCCTTGTTTGGGAACAAAGAAGCAACAGGGATCTGGTGGACCCTGGGGTTAGAATGGGAAAGGGGGTGGGGAAGGTTGGGAGAGTGTTAGAATTAAAATATTTATTCTAGAGTGGGATATAGTTTAACTGACACGGATGAGAAGAAGTGCTGTTTTGTTAATGGCTGTTTTGTACCAGGCTATGGTGATGCAGATAATAGGGGAGAATCACATTGCTCTATGCAATAATCCCAACTTTTTATATTTTCAGCTGACATGTGGGTTTTACAGGTCTATTTGTTATTAAAAAACATCTCAAATAAATGCTGTGCCTTGATAGTTTATGGAATTATGGGTGGAAACCAAGGTGGACCGAAGAGTGAATCCCCTGTTGATTTAGAGATTGTCTGTACATTGGGTGGGTGGGAGCAATGGGGGTGGGTGGGAGATATGATTGTGTTTTTCTGTACTGATTAGCATTACTTCAACACTTTCCTGGATTTTTTTTCATATATAAAAAACAAAGAAGAGAGGAAGATATGTGTGATAAATTTATCTGGGTGTGTGTGGGGGGCTTATTCCTATGCATCAATAATTGTAAAAAGAGTGGTTCCCCTTTAGAGCATGAAGCCTTACCCATGATGGATGATACCTATACAGTAACTGATGAAACTGGCTCAATAGCTCAGTGGCTGTGGAGCCAGAGGTTGGGAGTTCAATTCCTCACTGTGCCTCCTGTGAGGAGAGCCAGCCTGTACGGCCTTGGGCAAGCTGCACAGTTCCAAGAGAGAGAGGAATTGAGTAATTTCTACCTGGAAAGAGTCACTATGTCAGAATTTACTTGATGGCATGAAAGGATTATTATTAGAGACGGGGGTATTTGAGGGAGTCAGGCGGATCTCTACAGGTAGTTGTTTCAGAGGTGAGGCCACTGCCGAGAAGGCCTGATTTCTAGTTTTTTTCTCACCAGGCCTCTCTTGGCGTTAGGCCCCTCAGCCTCCCGGCCTGACTGGAGCGGGTGATATGGGTAGAACTGGGCAGAAGAAGGCACTCTGCCAGGTATTGAGGGCCTAAACTGTTAAGGCCCTTTGTATGTAATGGTTAGCACCTGGAAAACAATGTGGAGGCGGATAGGTAGCCAGTGTAAGGCGGCCAAGGTGGGGGAAATCTGGTGAAATCTTTTCACCCCTGTTAATAGCCTGGCTGCCATGTTCTGAACCATCTGGAGCTTCTGCATCTGTCTCGAAGCCCCACGTAGAGAGAGTTACAGTAGTCTATTCTTGAGACTACGAGTGCATGATGTGGTGAGCGTCCCTGTGTCTAGATAGCTGGGCAATCTGCTGAAGATGTCTATGGGCAGACCGAACCACGGATGCTACCTGGGTCTCCATGATAACTGTCGGGTCAAGATGGGCCCCCAGACTGCGAACCGACTTCTTTGTGGTGAGAGTCACCCTCCCAAAAGATAGGGAGTTCCCGAAACCACTGACATTGGGGCCACCCACCCGCAGGACTTCCGTCTTGTCCGGGTTCACCCTTAGTCCATTAAACTGCATCCATTGCAGAACGGCCTCCAGGCAGCACCCACGGGCCGGAACGGCATCCACTGCAGATAGAAAAAAATGAGATGTAGATCTGGGTTTCATCAGCATTTTGGTGACACGAAGCCCCACAGCCCTGGATGGCCCGCCCCAATGGCCTCATATAGATGTTAAACAGCATTGGGGAGATGATTGAACCCTGCGGGACCCCACAACTGAGAGACCATGGGGCCAATAAATTCTCCCCAAGCTGAACTCTCTGAGGACGGCCCTCCAAGAAGGACTGGGGGCAAGCAAGAACAATGCCACCAATCCCCAACTCGGAGAGCCTCCCCCAAGCAAGAGCAATGCCACCAATCCCCAACTCGGAGAGGCCCCCCCAGGAGGATACCGTGGTTGATGGTATTAAAGGCGGCTGAGATATCAAGAAGGATTGCCCCTGTTGGCCTCCCTAAGTAAGTAGTCATCCGCTTGTCATCCTGCCTCCTGCCAGGACTGGGTAATCGATTGCGGACAACGGCGCAATAGGAGTGCACTGCGGAGCAGGCAGCAGCGACGAAATAACCTAACCATCTTTATTTCCACCTGTGGGAGGATATTCATATATGAATACCTTCATCTCTAATTATTATGATTGATGGAAAATGGACACTGCTACCTTCCCTGTGGCTCCAGTTCATTCAGCCTTATTACCATAGGCTACCAATTGTGCCTGTACAAAATGTTTGTTGCTGTTTTGCTGCCTTTTTCTTCCTTTTTTCTTGTTTTTGCCATCTTTTCTGTAAGCCTTCTAACTGGCAGGGGCTTTTCTCATGAGCATTGACACAAGTTTCTTTCTGAGTCTTCTCCCTGTCCAAATAAAAGAGAGGGAGAGTGTCTCTTAGCTGTTCTGGGAGGCAGTTCTCCAACTGCAAGGGGCAAACAAGGAGAAGGGAGAGAGGAGTTTAAGAAAGCAAGAAACCTTTGAATGACTGGCAAAGTGATGGTCAGTAGAAGGGAGCCGATATGAAGGTGAAGAAATGGAAAGAATATGGAGGCCTTTGAAGGCAAGAACAATGAATTTGGACTGGGCTCCAGAGAGGGCTTATGGGGGTCTCAGTTTTGGTTAGATGTGAAGAAGCAAAACTAAGAAATGAGAAGACCACAGAGAAGGTTGCAGTAGTCGACACACAATTACTAGAACATGAACCATCATCCACAAGTTTTTATGCTTTCATCAACAAGGCAGAACAGTGTTAAATTTTCACATTGTCGTAGATGGAAGTGTAGGGGGTGGGAGATTAAATATAAGAACCAAAAGAAGTGGAGGAGACCAAGATAAAGCCATGGCTTCATTTCTTAATAACTGGATGTGAGATGTACCTGACAATAAATACACTGGAGGAAAGATGATTGGCTTAGTCTTCAATGTGTCGAACATGAGACAATGAGAACATAGATGATGGGAAATACCAGACAAGCATTTGGATATGGAAGAGTAGGAAAGAGTTCTGGAAAAGAGGGGTTTGGGGTATGATCACCTTATAGGTGGCGTACAAAGCCCAGGCCTGTGAGGAAGTCTCCCAGAGACAGTGGTGAAACAACAGTCACAGAGACCAAGGACTGACGCTCCAGGGATTGCAGTGGAGCTGGGTTAGAAATAGAGAAAGAATGTCTATGTAGGGAAAAAATGAATAAATGAATGATTTGGGAACAAAATAAGCTAATTGTCACTAAACATGGAGTGGGTCAAGGGTATTGAAGTCAATTAAAGAGAATGGGGATGAAGATTGCTGGTGATTTGGGCGACTACAGTTTCATTGAAACGCAAAGGAAGGAAGCTGGGGTTGTAGGGAGTCAAGAGAGAATGTCTGGAAGGGACAACATTGACACAGCATGAGTTGTGGGAGACTCCAGAAATCTTGGGTTGTGTCATGATGGTGTGCAGGATTTTTTTTTAAAAAAAAAGTATGAGGGAATGTAGCTGTGTAGTTTTATAGCCATGCATGAAGCTACTAACTGGATATTCTAATTGTTTTTTTTCCTGCTACAAGATCTTGGAAGAGAAGGCTGTCACTAGACCTCATTTCTTGGACTCCTAAGAAGAAGTTCCTCTATATAAATGAGAGTTAGGCTTTGGATTCATTCACCTAGCAGGCATGAGCTGGTCAACCATGCAACAGTTTGTGGTCTTAACGATTGCTGGCTGAGCTTTGTTGAGGGGGGCAGGCGGAGGATGAAGCAAGCGATCTCCCAGTCCCTGGGGGCTCTTTTTGTTAAGCCATTGCCTAGCAACTCAATGAAAGAGAATGGGGATGAAGATCTTTTGATTTAACAGAGCACAGATTGCTGGTGATTTGGGCTACTACAGTTTTATTGAAATGCAAAGGAAGGAAGCTGGGTTGTAGGGAGTCAAGAGAGAATGTTTGGAAGGGACAACACTGACACAGCACAAGTTGTGAGAGACTCCAGAAATCTTGGGTTGTGTCATGATGGTGTGCAGGATTTTTAAAAAAAATGTATGAGGGAATGTAGCTGTGTAGTTTTATAGCCATGCATGAAGCTACTAACTGGATATTCTAATTGTTTTTTTTCCTGCTACAAGATCTTGGAAGAGAAGGCTGTCACTAGACCTCATTTCTTGGACTCCTAAGAAGAAGTTCCTCTATATAAATGAGAGTTAGGCTTTGGATTCATTCACCTAGCAGGCATGAGCTGGTCAACCATGCAACAGTTTGTGGTCTTAACGATTGCTGGCTGAGCTTTGTTGAGGGGGGCAGGCGGAGGATGAAGCAAGCGATCTCCCAGTCCCTGGGGGCTCTTTTTGTTAAGCCATTGCCTAGCAACTGCAGCAGCAGCAGTGCAAGCTATGGCGTCCTCCCCGGCAGCCAGCAGTTTTTTATACCAGACAGATGATTTCACCTTTGAAGAGAGACGTTCCATGTATGAGCTGCAGGTGGAGAGACAGAGAAAGGACGGGAAGGTTTGTGCTGGGGCGAGTGGGATGCGGGAGAACTATTTCCAAGGGCAGGAAAGATACTTTCAAAGGATGGCCGTGTGTTCCGATTACCCAGCGCCGGCACCACGTCTAGCTTTTCAGGAGCTTAGAGGACTCCGTTCTCTGCATGGAAAAGAACTCTGAATGTGAACAGCCTTGGACCCAGTTTGTTACTTGTGATGAGACAAGTTAGTTTAGCTGAAGCCTAATCTGGACATTTTGCCGTTTTCTGACAATGTGTTGCTTAGGCCTGTTCTGTGCAGGTTATTTGCTGGCCATCACTTCTCTTATTGCCTCTGAACAAAGCATAGTCAGCCTAGTGGGGCATTTTCAGGGTTTGAATAATTGCTGGGAATAATTGTCATCTACAAGGGCAGATAAAGACTGCTTAGGAAGGTGTGAAGCAAAGGAGCCTTAAAACCATACACAGCTGGGGCACCTCTTAGCGGATCATTTTCCCTCTTCCTTTTCTTCCTTTTCCCCTTCCTTTTTAAAAGAAAGGACTCTAGTCTCTGGACTGGCTCAAAAGCCTGTTGATCAATAGATAAAATAACTGCATCCAAACATCTATCATATTCCCTTTAATATATTTTCCCCCACTAAGAAAAATTAATGAAAAAAAAAACAGTAAAAAAAAGCATGGGACAATTATACATGGAATGCACTGGCCTCAGCCATAAAAATGCCATTTTCTCTCTCTTTTTTTCAGTCAAAAAAATGAACAACCTCTAACACAATACACAAAAAGATGGAAATGTGTAAAGTTAAGCATTATGTTATCACAAGGTGATGCTAAGGAGCTGTCATGGACATGCTTAATACTACATGGCCACCCAAGAATCAGAGCTGCAGTGAATGTATAGTCCAAACCAAAGGGAGATTCTAAGGGAGTAACTTCT